CCTCGGCCACGTCTTTGGGACTGGCCTGCACGGTCTCCTGAGGCGGAGGCGGAGCGACGGACTTGTTGAGCCACTGGTCGACCTCCTGGTTCTTTTCATTAATCTGGCGGCCCCTCACCATCTCATTGACGCTGTCGACCTCGATTGACGGCCTGTTGTCGGGATCCAGGCCCCGGCGGCTGAGAGATGAGCGCCGCGATGGCGCATGCTCCTGCGAAGAAATCAGGTCCCCCGCAGAGCTGATGCCGCCGCCGCGCGCCGTCGACGAGTTCTCGTCGTCCGGGGTGAAGGTGCGCTCGATCGACTGCACAGGCTCGGCGTCGTCCTTGCCCCACATGGAGACGGTGACTCGCGGGCTCTGGGCGGCGGCCATGGCCGGGGACGGCACGGCCCCGTCCTCGCTGGAACGGCCGCTGCCGCTGGGATCGGGCGTCGGCTGGAGGGTGGGATTAGGCTGCTGCACCGCGTAGGGGGCGAAAGACTGCGCCTGGAAAGGTCTCTGGAGCTCCTGAGGTGAGATGGAGGTCGGGAGGCGGTCGGGCACGGACTTGGCAATCGTCCTGCGGTCGCTCCCCGGGGACGTGGTGTGGAGCGAAGCAGTCTGTTCGGGGGTGAAGGGATACGAGTTGGCCTCCAGGGTTCCGTTGCGCTTCCGGGCCTCACTGAAGCTCTGGGCGATGGCGTTCTGGCCGAAACTGTCGGTCCTGCTCTCTGGGCCAAGGAACGAGGGCGTGCCGGGCTCTGTCGCGTTGAAGTCGACGCCGAAAAAGGGGTCGAGGGAGTCATCCATGTCACTGGTGTAGTCGCTGTGGTACTGGCTGTAGGTTGAGATGGACTCGGCCGGGGTGTCGTTGTAGTTGGGCGACACGGAGCTGCTCTGGAGTTGCGATGCAGGCGAGAGATGATTCGGGTCAAACGAGGAGGTGGCAGTCAATCGGCGCTGATTGCCTCCTGTCGGCGGGGAGGGGTTGCGGGGTTCGTTCGCCTGCTCGTCGTGGAACGAGGCTGGAACGGCGTAGGTCGAAGTCATGGTGACTGATGATTGAGCCGGGCGCGCGCAAGAGCGGACGGCGGTGGATGGAGAGTATCTAGGTCTTGTTTACAGCGTTGGCCAGTCTTGGGAATTGGTCAAGTGACTGGAGACCAAGGCTGAGGCAGGTTTGCTCTCGATGCTTGGGGAATACTATGTCATGTTCTTGCGTAGAGTAGAAGCTGTAGGAGCAACACGACACACGGCAGGTCGAAGCGAGTGTTGGCAAGCACAGTGAGGCAGCGTCTTGCGGGCCTCGTCAAATGGTGTAGCCAACTTTGAGGCAAATAAATGTGCGTTAATCCGACAAAATCAAGGCTGCGCTGGAGAAAGATGTTGTTTCTGGGAGAGAAACGTCTGGCCCTCGGCAGGCTGGGGGAGAAAGCCACAAGAAATGTGTTCCGTGGTGGAGGGGCGGCAGTAGGGTGGTCCAGAGAGAGGTGGGTTGGCGGCGTCTTTTGACCAGCGCTTATTCTGCTGGCTGATGTCTTTTGCGCGCGCCGCCGCACCAAGAACCGGGGACAAGCAGCAAGGGTCGGAATGGGCCTAACGATCAGCAGTGCCAACAGCGTGTGCTGGTGCGACCGTAATTGCGGCTTCTGGCGATGCGCTCACGCTCTTCTGATGTTGGTGGTCGCAAAAAGGGAGATGTCCAGAATGGAGACTGGTGGACCGGAGGATGGTGGTTTTGGCGGGGGTTCGAACGTCCAGCAGGGAGCGCGGAGCGGGATGACGGGAGTGGGATATGCGACTGATTATCCGCGATCTGTATGTTTAAAGAGGCTCGAAATCCAGTGTCCGGGGCGCGGTAGAGGCTGGACGAGACTCGATGATTTCATGCAGAGACTGGAAGAGACTGGAAAACGAGGCGAGGCGCGTGGGAGAGAGCCTAAGGTCGTGGCATCGGACTGATTGTGGCAGAGTCGACAAGCCTTGGGGACAGACAGATCTGAAGGGGGGGAGAGGGTGGTGGGAGAGTGAGAGAGAGGAAGATGCCCAACTGATGGACGATGGGACGAAAGGGACGAGTGCTGTGTGGTTGGAAGGTTGGGGGTGGGACGCGGGACTTGGGAGGAACCTGCCCGAGGTACGGGTGCGCAGGTAGCTGATCCAAGGGAGCGGAAGCCAAGTGAGGTGTGGCTAAAGTATCTACCTAAAGCAAGTAGGTTGGTAAAGTTAAGGTCGACGGCTTATTTTGTGTGCTGCATAGAACAGCACAGCACGTCAAGCGTACCTCTGCTGCAGGCCACACCAACGTCACCAGTATGGCTATAGCAAGTATCTACCTGAGTTACCTTGCCGTTGGACAACAGAGACATGGAGATGGACGGCAAGGGGCCTGTCTAGGGCTGCTGTCCAGTCTGCCTAGTCTAGTGCCATCACCTGCTTGTCTCTGGGTTGTCTTGTCTCTCTGGCCGTCCTGCTGTCTGTGTTCAGATTCAGCTAGCTACTGCATACCTTGGGACTGCGTAGGAGAGCTCCCATCCCATCCCATCCCACATCGAGTTGTCTCGGTCGGATTTCGTGTCGAGTGTGGGCGGCAACATCCTGGTCGGGATGCGCAGCCCACCGAGGCGGTAATGCGCCGCCACAACGCCGCCCTCTGCTCGACGAGATGCGGTTACAGTTGAAGAGGGGACAGCAGGCCGTAGTCAGGTCCAGTCCAGGTCCAGGTCCCATAAGGTTCCTGGCTTGATCGGGCTGTCTACACCATCTACAGCCATCGTCGTGGACGACCAGTCGAGGGTTCAGACCAGTCGTTCAGCCGAAACCTCAACCGCCGCGAGGAGGCATGTGCTTTCTCACAGGAAGCAAATGCTAAAAGAGCAGAGTTGAGAGACATCTGACGGAAAGCATCTGATAGCCAGTGGCCAGCTGGAGCATCTCACACTAGAAAGGACCATACGTCGACACTGAGGGGTTCCTCTGGCTGCCTTGCTGCAAGGCATCCGTCCAGTGGCGTAAGGTAATCCTACACTACAGCGTACAGTGGCCCCGTACCTTATTTGGCGCTGCTGCGTGTTTCTTCGCTGGACCCCCGAAAAGCTTCCCCCCTCTTTCCCGTCTACATAGTACGTCCTCTCGCTTTCCCTTACCCTTCGCATTTTAGTCCAAGTCTTGTTCGTTCCGCGGGACCTCTCGCAGCACGACGCCCCGCACAGTGGGTCCCCTAAATCAAGGGACCGCTGTGAGTGGAGGACGCAGCCACTATGTACCTAGCAAGTAGCAGCAGCCACAGGCACACTTGGCCGTAGGGCGGAATGGGGGCCGGGCGGGCTCAGATTGGAAGGAACCTCCGCCGCCCACCGCTTCCTCGCTGTGAACCGAGGTATCCGACTACCTAACCTCCATGGATGTCACGCCCAGCTGCACTTCTTCCACTTTTCCTTCGACGAGCGAGGCGTTCTCTGATGCACCCGCTGGGCTTTCTCCCCAGCCCCAGGGCAGATAGACACAGACACGCCCTTGGTCACCCACGCAGCACGTTACAGAAAGCAGCCACTGCCGCATCCCTCGACCCTCGAGAGCTTGATGCTTGATGCTTGGTTTGGTGTTTGCTGCGTGCTGCTTAATCTCTCAGGTCGTGCTCCGGTCAGCCTGTGCTCACCGAGAGGCACACTTCCATATCCGGCTGATTCACATTTCGACCCGTCCCTTTCTTCCTTGGACGTCGCAATGTTTGGCCTCGAGAACCTCCTGGCGATCGTCAGTCAGACCTGCAGCCGGTTGATGTCATTGTCCGGCCCCTGCTCCGGGATGGCATCCCCGCGGAGCTGTGGCTGACAGGTGCGGCACGTTGACTGTTGCAGCGCTGGAACCGTTGCTAGCAAAGCGTTTCTTCGCGTCGCTCTCGTGGTCATGTCATCGCTCTCGCATCCACGAAACATGGCAAACGTCGCGCCGCATCGGACGCCAGGGACGGATATCTATCTGTGGGGTCTGGCACCATTAAGCACAGCCGCAAGCTGCGGTGCGGTGATGGCACTCGGGTTATTTTATCGACGTCGGGAACCCTGGGCGACCACTCAAGCAGTTCCTCAACGACAAGGAAGACCGGGCGGTGCACCTCGCCGACCACGGCACAGAACAAGCACCATCGAGGCTGCGCAGCGCCACACCGACCCCGAAGTCCCGATTTGCGGTGTGCCGCTGCGGCACAGGCCCGGCCATCGTGGGCATTGCATTCTGGCAGATGTCGTCAAGATGCACCACTGTCAAACAGGTGCGAGAAGAGGAGAGGAGAGGAAACCATTCGAGATCGCCGATGCAATGAGCCCCGGCGACTGCCAGCTGAGCCAAAGGGTTCCTGTTGGCACCAGTGGACAGAGACATTCACCTGCCCTGATTGCGTCACATTGCTCGAGGTTGAAAGCCAAATGGGCGACCTGATCGTCTTCTTGACGAATTACCTCTCGCCGACCGGACCGGTGCACTACCCGCGGATGCATTTAGCAGTACTCAGCCGGCAGCGCCAATGATGCGCTGCGGCGTTGGATTGCCAAGATCTTTGCATCTGTCAGAGTCCACCAGAGACCCTCGAGCTGAGTGAGCCATGCGATGCAGGCCTGGGGCGGGAGCAAGACAGATAGCACTTGCGACAGCAGACAAATGCACGACGCCATGCCATGCCATGCCATGCACGCAATGGCAGAGACTCTGCGATGAATGCTTCTAGTACTCCCTGCTGCTCCACATGAGCATCGGCCATTGGCTGCCGCCACGGCTATTGCCTTATCTAATCAGCCGCACCTGATGCATCCCCGACACCATCGGCGAGCCAAGCAGCGGCCGAGATCACCTGCCAGGAAACTCTAAACCCGCCGTCCGTTCGTGATCGTCGACTCTGGGGATGTTCATACCTGCCTTCCCTCGTCGCAGGCTTCACCTTTTTGAAGACGATCTCTGTGTGTCGGATTGATCGGATTGCAAAAACACTTGATTGCCTTTTGAACCTCTCATCCAACTCAACATGTTCCAGGTTCGTATCATTCGGAATCCAGTCAAGTGGTGACCATTCGCCTTCGATGCTTACACGCCGCAGCCAAACCCTCAAGACCATCTTCATCTGCGCCTTCACAGGGCACGGTCGGTCATCTTGACCGCCGAAGAGTAAGCCTCCGTCATTACCGTCTGCCAGCATCTGTCTAACCATCCCCAGACTCGTCGAGATCCGCGCCGCCCAGCGGACCTTTGAGGGCGCCTACATGCGCACCGCCCTCTCGCAGTTCTCCTTCGCCCTCATCATCCTCAAGATCTTCACGTCCGAGTTCTACGCCATCGGCGCCCTCTTCGCCGTCTACGGCGCCGCCGTCATGCTCGTCGCAATCTACCGCCGCCACGAGGGCAACCGCCAGTTCTTCACCTCCCCCAAGGAGGACGCCGACGGCTCCGTCTCCGTCGTCCGCAAGTTCCGCACCTCGGGCAACAGCGTCGCCCTGCTCACCGTGCTCAGTCTGGCGGCGTACGTGACGCTGTTGGTCCTCACGTGGCAGCTGGTGCAGTGACCTAGTTTTGGTATGGGATGGGAGAGCATAGGGATTGCACAGGCAGTGCGGAGGACGTTGGACGGAGTCGGTGCTCGTCACCATGGAGACTAGGACGGGGCCTCATCGAGTTGAGATGGCAGGACCCGGGACAACTAAGCACGGCAACGACACGGCGGCAGTTTGTGTCTCGAAACGCCAGACCCCGACGACCGAGCCAACGCTTTCGGGATCCTGACCAGGTTGAAAGCCGCGACGACAGCTGGGCCACCGAGAGGGTTCCCAAGGAGGCAGCTGAAAAAAGTCGCCTGCTATCTGCTACGTTGCCGTCTCCAAGTTATCGCCACGCAGCATCTTGGTGCATCGCGTACGATCATTCCAGGGCATCTGTGTTTGAAATATCAAACGCTATTCACATACGGGCCAAGGCAATGACACTGGGCTGACGAAGAGTTCATGCCGGACATCGCGGGCCTTGATATAGTACACGACCACTTCAGGGTGCCATGGAGGACGCCGAGTCATATATGTTACTTTCAGCGGTATATCAACACAAGGAGCCATCCATCGCAGAAAGCACTACACTAGAGAAGATGGTCTATTCATAGAGAAATAAATGAACTACCTAAACATGTCTGGGGGAAGTGATGTGGGTTTTTGAAGGGCTCATCAATCAGAAGCGTCAAATCTACATAATCGTAAAGGGGGTGTGACGGAGAATGGGAGGGAAGAATAAACGAGTGCGGGGGCAATGGTGTGAAAGAGAGAATACGAATCGAAGAAGACGAAGAAAAAAGCAAAAAGAATGAAGAATCGAACATGAAGCCGTCGTCAGAACCCTCCGGAATGCGTGTGTACCCCCCAAATGCAGCTCCCCCTTTTTTTAAACGTTTCCTACCAGTTCTTCCTTCCATCCAACTGCACCTCATCCTAACGATCGCGCTGAGTATGTAGTCGCTGGTGGTCATCGTCGAGGCCAGGAGGTGGAGTTTGACGGCTATGCGCCGTCGTGGGAAGCGGCGCTCCGTCCATGAACCGGGTTTCCGGCACCATCCTCCCTTGCGGCCCCACCCACTCCGCCTCCGCGCCTGTGTTCATACACCCAAAATCGACGTCCCTTGCTCGTATGTCTTTGACTTCCGACAGAAAAAGCGCATCGGCCCAAAGCGTAGACGTGCCAAACTGTCCAGCGAGACCGCAGAAAGTCATGGTTAGCAACGGCAGCAACAGCAACGGCAGGCCGCGTCCCATCCTCTGCGTATAAGCTGTTTGTAATCGAGCCGACCAGAAGCAGACGTGATGATTCTCTGGTTCGCGCCGTCGATTGCTCCGAGGATCCATCACCTGGCGTCTCGTGTGACCCCCGTGTTGCAGGCCTCGTCAAGCTTGGGCCTCTGAACCAGACAAAATGCACTTCCTCCTTCAGGGGTTGTGTCGCAAGGCCGCGTCGTTTCTCAAAATCCCCCCAATACCCTTCGTTCAAAAGCGTCCTCGCCTTGCTGAGTTTGGTTAAAAGCTCCTCAGTCCCTTTTTTTTTTTTTTTTTTTTTTTAATCTCTCCTCTCTCCTTTTCCTCCCAATGAAAGGATCGAAGTCGCTCAAATGCTGCTTCCGTTACTGCGCCGGGCTGCATGACGCCGCTTTGAAAGCGGTTGCGGGTATCTTTTGAATTTCAAAAATGGTCCGTTAAATGCAAATTCTGTTAAAAAAGTTCCTGTTTTCCTCCGCTTCTGTCGTTATATAGCTGACTTGTAAAGTCTAGTAATCGTTTCGTAGTCTTCGGGGAGGGCGAGAACTGGCTTCGTCGACAAGACCTTGTCTTCACGTCAGAGCTTACTGCTCGCGGCTGTCGTCATAGCTCCATTCGTATCCTCCCTCGCTCGACTTGGTGTAGGTATACGGCTGCTCCCAAGATCCGTAACCCGCGGGTGGCACTGCGCCGGCGGACAGAGACGCGCCTTGCGGGTCAAAACCGGCCACGGAAGTGGCAAGCGGGGTTGAGTACATGTCCATCGACATGGTCGATGATTTCCTTCCAAAGGAGCGGCCTTGAGGCATGCCGGCGAACTGGTTCGGCATTTGGGCTTGGCCGGGGAACGGCACCGAGCCGGCTGGTACAAAAGAGGCCCAGTTCATCTCGTCGCGAATGTTAGGATCGGTGTTGATGGCTGCCCCCCAACCGGCAGGGCCAGGCCCTTGAGGAGTGTACGGCGAAAAGGACGGCGTGATTGGAGACTCCTGTGGGTACGATGTCCACGTCTCGTTCAGGTCAGAAGGCTTTGCAGCGCCGGAAGTCGCGTCATGCGGCATCCAATTTGCCATTTGCTGACCCTGAAAGTCAAACGAACGAGAGGACGAGGACGCGCCAGAGGGTACTATTACGCTGTTAGCAACTCCTCGGCTTTCAATTAAGCGCGTCAGCTTACCCCCTTCGACGCCCGCCGGTCTCATTGCCGGCGGGGCCATGTTTGCTGGAGGCATCGCCACGTGCTGGTACTGCTGGTATTGGGACATGTCCGGCGACTGGCCAGGAGCCATAGCCGGGGACGAAGACGCAGACGTGACCTTGGGCCCTGTCGAAGCTCGGGATGGCGCCTTTGGCCGCGCCTCTGTCGACTGCGGTGCCGGTGGCTGGTCTACGGGATAGAAGCTGCACTCCTTCTTCAGTCTGATGCAGTTGATACATCTACCCAGGGTGTCGGAAGGCGAGGGGATGCAACGGATCTTCCGTCGACGACAGTGCCCTTGTCGAGCATCGTCAGCGTGTTTCCCCGGGTCTGCCACCGTCCGGCGAGGACCGGAACGGCCATAGGCAAGCACTTACCACAAGCTACCGAGGTTCGATGGTAACCTAGCTTGTTTCTCTTCTTGTCGTTCGCCAACGCAGCCTGGCTTGGGTCGGGGATGTTGGCCTGCCGCGGTCTGACATTAGGCTTAGTCCTCGAACGTTTCAACTTCAGACTCGCCTGTGGGAAGGATTCCTCGCGCTCCTTGATTGATTGATCGTGGGATCTCGGGACCATCATCGGAGGACCCGGAGCCGGCGCGCTGTAGCCGGGCGCGTACCCGGGGTGAGACATGTCCACCTCGGGAGTGTTGGGTAGGGGAGGATACTGGTAGGACATGATGGAGACCATCTGCCGCCCACGTCCAATGATGCCACGAAGCTGATGGTCCTTTAGCAATGTCGAAGTCAGGGTCCGCGGGGTTGCTGTGACATATGGTGATGATGCAACTTCGGACGACGTTAGAGACAGAAGAGCCAGGACGGAATCCCGAAGAGCAGAGATGCAGTCTCCTCCTTTGACGATGTCGGCAGTGATTGTGACTTGCAACAGACGATCAAGACGACGTTGTTATGGTAACCCCTGAGAGTACAAAGTGACAGGCGAGATGTCTGTTCCCTCCACAACAAGGGATTGATGGGGAAGCATCAACAAATGGACGTCGGAAAAGGGAAACCAAGCTTCGCGGCCGGCAAGCGCCTCCTCGTGCAATAACGCGGGCGCAGGGCCAATGCGGACACGGGACGGGGGCAAGAAGCGAAGATGGCAACGGGCCAATCGAGATGAGTGAAAGGGTCGAGCCTGGCTGCGAGTGCGGCACTGGCAGGATGGAGTACCAAAGTTGGAAGTTTTTCTGTGAGGTGACCGGCGTCAAAATTGGGTCGGCTCCCCAACTTATTTCTCTTGCCGTGGGCTGATTGCAACCCAAGCTCAGAAAGCGAAAGAAGGGGCCCCAGAAGGAGGGCGAGGTCTGCCAGGGTATCTCGACGTTTACTGCAGACAGATGCAGCAGATGCGGCAGTTGTGTGTGTGTGTATTCGAGTCGTTGGGCTCGAAGTCTTATACACGAGGCGGTCGTGTACGTGGTGGGAGCAGGGCGAGGTGGTCGAGCAAGGGGCCCGGAAGATGCCAGCTGCGAGGTAAAAGGTACAATGAGATTTTTTTGATACAACCCTAAGAACGTGTTCGGTCCGGTATACGGCGTCGAGAAGTTGACTGACATCAACCACAAAAAGAGAAAAGAGCGAGAGCACCAGGGCAAAGATATGCGAGGCGAATCCCAAGCAGGGGAGAAGAATGATGAAAAGGCACGTACCCGTTCTTGCTGCTGATCCTGGCCAACAACTGATTTATTTTTTTGCCTCTCGGAACATGGAACCTGTCTGGACCACCAAGGTACCGACCGACGTTACTTGGGCATCCAAGTTTTTGGGTGCGTAATCGGCGTGGTGACGAGAGATGTACCTGATCTATCGGGCTGGCCGTCAACGCCAGAGGTGTCAGGGATCTCTCTCGCGTGTTCTTGATGTGGTAGTCAACAAATACCTTCCGAGTCCGATGATCATGGGCCCGGCCCTGGACTCTCAAATCACCCCTGCCACCCAGACTTCAACTCTTTCTGGACCTCTAAAGCCTGAACGGTCTTGGTCAGGATTCTGTTCACCTCAACGCTGGAAGAAGAAAAATGAGAGACTCCGGCCGGCGGAGCCCGGAGGCTAGTATGACGGGGACTAGGATGACGGAAGAGGGTGAAAAGCCCAGGAGCCTCAATGAGACGATAGACAATAGGGCTACTGCAGAAGGGCTGAGTAGTGACGGCAATTCCCATACCTTGGCTCCCAGCTGCATCCAGGGAGTGCCTAACTAACAGCACGCAGCTCGAGGAGTTGTGTTCGAAGCCGAATGGACCGCGGCAGACGGCTGTATCCTTCCAGCGCCACCAGATGGCAGTCTCAGCTTATTAGTCGAATGTGTCCGCGCTAAGCAACGGCGTACTGATTGAACGATGGCCTGGCCGCTTGTTGACAACTGGGCGTGGGGGCTGGGCAGCTGTGTCTCAGAAAACAGACAGAAGTCGTTTTATTCGCTCAACCTTTTACCGCTTCTCTCTCGTTGTGTCGGATCGTTGGCGTTGCGACGTAAGGAGGTAAAGCTCAATTCGACGATATGACGTGTATAAACCCTAGCCGGGTCAAGCTGAAGTAGTACACGCACCTTGGGTTGCTGCTTCGTGCTG